GGGAGGCTGTGGCTGCTCCAGCCAGGGACAGTTCTTTCATTCTTACTGTTTTGGCATCCGATGGGATTCTGATCTGTCTTATACAGGCCTGGTTATTGAGAGCAGAGCTGGGATGCAGGGCGGCTTTTCTTGCTCTACTTTTTTTATTACGTTTTTGAATAGATTCATTTGATAGAGCGCAAACTGATTCAACTTCACAGTGTAAAAATGATGAAAGTGTCATGAATAAAGATTTACAGCAGTTAGGTACTTTGTTACTGTTTGACTGATCAGAATCAGAAATCCAGAATCAGAAAATACTTAATAATCAGGGGGAAATTATTTTTCGTTACAAGACTCCAGGTAATACAAACACATATATTATACAAGCAACATAAGAGAAGTTCTTGGACTAGACATTCACTGGCACATCATGGGGCAAAGTCCGTAGCCTGGTAACACTGCATATAAATCATGTAAAAAGTAATGTCTTTGCAGCTCCGTGAGACTATAATCCTCCCTGCCCACAAGGCACAGCGCTGCTCTACTATCGGTGGGCGGAGTCTGCAGGGAGTGGGCCTGCCCGGCGCTTTTAATACAGATGCGCTCCTCCATGCGCCCTGCGTTCAGCGGCGAGCGGACACGGCAGAGGCAGAGCACACAGCACCATGACTGCACCCAGCAACACCTACGATGTTATAGTGGTCGGCGGAGGAATATCAGGTAGGCGCAACATCAGTGAACTTTACTTTGCTCTGCAGGCTTCGCAGTTTGATGGAGACCACGGAGAGATTGAACGTAAGCCACCGCCTGCAGCACCTCCTGCAGCACCTCCTGCAGCGGGCTGATGCGCTTTGTGTGAGGTGACCAGACAACTGTTGCACAACAGATAGGCTACTCGCACGTTGTGTCCATACGTGGCGCAACTACATCAAGCTGATTGTCCACTCATCCGAGAATGAGGGGGACTTTTATTTGGCACAGCGCGCGGCTTTTCTTCGCCCCGACGTGCCATCCATTTTCTCCGCGCTCGCGTCTCTTCCGTGAGGCTACCTCTCCCCCCGTCCACCGCTGTATCACCACAGCACTGCCTGTTAAGTAACAGCTAATCAGCCAGAGCATACTTTGTATTACATAAGGGAGGGGGTGAGGGAGGAGAGGGGGGGTGTCATAAATTATTGTCGGTAGCATCTGTAAGGCTGACATGTTCCATTTTGTCATAAAAGCTTCCTACTTGTTGTTTTTGTCAGTGAGCCAGTTAGAGAGAGAGGGAGAGGGCTGATGCTGAGGAGGACTTGCATCTGGTTCAGCATTATGTGTTCTACTATGAGCAGCTGCTCTGCATGATGTAAGGGTTGCAAACACTGATGCTGGTGCTGTTTCCCCTCAGGTCTTCCAACACTTGGTGTAGGCTAATGTTGCATACGAGCTAATTATTAGGATGGTTTATTCTCGCCCAAAGATAACAATATTAGTAGATTAGAGGAAAGTGACGTTTTCTGCAGCTTCCTTTGAAACACACTGTCTTGTTAAGTAACACACTGTTTTCTGTGAAGAAGGGAGTGTATAGTTCCTGGAATGGGAATTTTGCCAATCAAAATCTGGCTGTTGTGTTTTGGTGGTCACTGTTAATTTCATTACAGACTGTCTGTGGACTGTTTTCAATAAGCAGTCCCTCCAGGATTTCACAAGAGTTTGTTGGGATTGTTACAGCCTAAAATGCCTGATTTCACAGCAGCTTTCCTAAAAAATTGTGATCTTTTTCGGCATGTTTTGCAATATAATTGTGGGAGAAAATGAAAATTGCAAAAATAGATTTTATTTTGATTCATTAAAAAACAAAGGCAACTTGGTCCAGTGAAAATAAAATCTCACTTTCCGGAGTGTTTCAAGTAACCTTTCCAAAGAGGCTCATGATGGTCTGTATCTTCACAATTAGAAACAAGGAAGTGACTTTGGTTACATATGGCTCAACATTAGAGTTGTTGCGAGATTGATACCAGTAACGTTCCTCCAATACTGCCTAAAATGTAGCATCGCGTATCAGTGACTACGGTTGTCTGTACACCAATCCGTTACCATGTAATTTAGTAGCCCCAAAATGAGACCCTGTTACTTCCCAGCAGTGTACTGTTTGCCATTTTTTTATTGTGAAGTCATGGCACGCTCTGCAAAGGGTTTAACCCGAGCCAGGACATACAACAATGATAGCAATCATACAGGCTTAGTAGTATATGCTTGTTAAAAAATAATCATAATATATCGCAAATGTTTTAGATCAGTACTCGTATCTGCCAATATGCAAAGCTCAGGTCAGCATCGGGAAGGAAAAAATTGTATCTCTCATTGTTTCATATAGGAAACTACTGGTGATTGGTGAAATTTGCGAAAAAGTTGTGGTGACAAAATTGCAAGATTGTTTGAATTTGTGTTAATTGTTGTGATCGCAACTTCCTGGTGGGACTAAATATAGCACAAAAACAGATTGCCAGTGGCGTAGGGTAGTTACAACGGGCCTGCTGCAGGTGTATTGTATTGTCTCATCAGATGATCAGATCCTTGATAAACATACATATTACCGAGCAATCATTGAATATCTATATATGACAAAAATACCAAACAAAATAAGAAATTATTAATTTAAT